GTTGTAATGGGAAGTCCTTGATAAAAATATGAATAAAAATTTGTTTGCGGTGTGAGTCATTGAATTGGGTAATAAAAACTGTTGTGAAAAATACACTCTTCTGAGCGCAAAACTAAACCGAAATATTATTTATGTATATGCTAAAAAATTTGGAATTTTTCAAAAGAAAATTTAAGCATTTAGTTCAGTATTTTATGAAGGGAAAAGTAAAAAAAGCTTTATAATTTGTAGATTATAAAAGAAACACTCGGGCACAGTAATCAGCGGCTAGAAAGAACAACAGAAAAGAGCAAATAATGGGGAACTGCAGCGAGATCCATTGTTATGGTTGAGCACGATAATTATTTTAAATTGTAAGCAACAATATTTACGCATTCGTAATTGGCAGTTCGGCGAAACAACAATTATACATAATAGCAACAAAAACCCACTGCAAAGGCTGTTTGGATGTAGTGCTGGTGCTCCTGGTGCTCTGTGTTATTTGCACATTTTCATTAAATTTACCTGCATTTTTGTTTTTTGTATTTTTGGGAGCATGTTTTGGGCAACAGCCGCGCCTCCATTGTCTGGCCGCATTAGCACTTGGCCCAGTGAACCAGCAACAGAAACTGGCCCGAACACCACCCACAACGGGGGCAACAAAGCTTTACACTTCCTGTACGGGAACTTAATGAAAATAAATCTAGAAAAAATATTAACAAAAGGAAAGGCGACGAGAAATTGTATAGAAATGAGAAGGGAAACAGTGAGCGAAGGCGGGTGGGTACTCCACCTTTTCACAGGTGTACAGCTTAAACGTGGAACTGTGCTCGGGGGATTTCTTGATGACGCATTCAACAGCTCGGAAGTAATAGACCCTAACAAACAAACCAAACAAACCAGGATCTACCACCTCCCCAGAGAGAAGTGTTGAAAGGGAGAGGGAGATCCGAAAGAAAGACCGTCTAGAAATGCTAGCCAAGAAGAGGGAACTTCAATAGGACTCGACTCGGGCATAACTATGCACTACTTGGAGCGTGAGATATGCGACTTCCCTCACAGACCGAAAGGAACCCCATTTGAATGGGAAGTGCATTAAAGGATTGTGGAGGTGTGAGGGCAAAGCACTTTCAAATTTAATTTTACTAATGATGAATTAGTCTGCACTCATTATTCAGTTAAAGGTAGGTACATGTGTCAAGAGATTTACAATCTACCTTGCTGTCTGGCATCATTCGGACCACTGCTTGTAACTATAGACGGAAGGGTCTTCTTAGCTAAGTAGGGTTTACCAGTAGTATGGGTATGGTGGGTAAAATATTCCAATTCCAATGCGAATTTAGTTCAACAGAAATCGAGGTCAGAAGATCTCTGGAAACCCCGAGCAAGCACTTCAATTATTTAATATGCCCAGGGGAAGGCCACACATTTTAAATCAATTACGGAAATGTTTCGCTCAATCTTTCAATCAATCAATTGGATTTGTTTGCTCTTTTTGCGCTCACTCAATACCGAATGCCATCAATAACAATAATTTTCATAAATATGATAAGGCATAAATCACAAGTAGCAGGCGCCACAAAGTGCCCCGGCAAGGGTCCTATTCCTAGTCCTGCTTGCTGTTGCTCAATGTCCCCAACAATGTCCCTCGTCAGTCTCTTCTCTGTCCTCTGTTTCTCTACGAGAATTCCTCCCCTTCCGTTTCCTGGCGTGCCATGTCACTTGGCCATGCGAGGCACGCGCTTCACTGAGAATGGCAAAAAATAGCACGAGTGGGGGCAGCCTGGCTAAGCAGGACCTTCGCCACATGAACACAGGACACGGGATAAGGGACACAGGACTCGAGAGGCAGGAACCAGGGGCCAGGACGCTGGCAGCGGCAGGCCGCAGGACAGGGGAAGCGGCAACATCACGCGGCGTTGTCATGGCGCAATAAAAATAAAAATCTAATTAGTATGCCGTTGACAGTTTAATCGTGATTACGCTGGCAAAAATGTCAGCTAAGCGGGTGGTGCTGCCTGGGGAGAGGGTTTACGAGAGACGAGGCGGCTGCATGAGTGGGCCAAAGTAAGCGTCAACATCCACATCCACATCCACATCCACATGCCACATCCACAGTTGATTCTTGCTCTTGTACTCGTGGCTGTTGCTGTTGCTGTTCTTGGACGTTGAGCCTGGCATTTCCGGCAGCCGCCGCATGCATCGCGTGCGTGTCGAAACACAAGGCTGTGTGGGTGAGCCTGCCACAGCGTCTGTGTGTGTGTACATGCCTAAGGTTGTGTGAGTGTCAAAAGTTTAGCGCTGAAAATCGTTCGTTGTTGGATTCCCGGGCGAGTCAGGAACAGAGAGAGAGAGTGCCAGCAAAACGTTAAGCTAAAATATTAAAACAAAAAATCCACAAAAGGCAAAACCATGTCCGCAGCAATAAAGTGGTGCGATATAGAAGTTTGAAAAAATATTCAATCAGGTACATAGTGGGGACCGAAGTATTGATCCAGTGATCGAATGATCATCTGATCGAGTTGCTCTTAAGAGAAAGAACATAAAATGTCTTTGGTTCTTTTTTATCGTTAAATTTAGCAAGTTATCTAATCCTGCTGTGTTAGAAAAGGCTGTGCTAACCAGAAAGCCTCTTTTATCTTGTTGGTTTTAATCATCTGGAGGAAAAGTGTAGCCCTGCTGTGTGTAGTTTCATTAGATAAAAATCATAGTCGATTGAGTATATTAAACAAACCTGGTGTTGTTTTTGTACACAAGAGGAAAAGGGACTAGGAAGGACCTAAATCGGACAGTTATTTCTCGAGTGATTTTCTGTGTGATTAATGAGAGAATTATGCATTATTCATATTTGATAAATTAAAAAATAAAACCTTGTCGAATTTTTTTTTTTGAATCGCAATGTTTTTTTTTTAATATAAATTTTTGGTGTAAACTATTTTAACACTTAAAATTCAAAAATTAAAAATGTAATAAAAAATTGTTTGCCTTTACTATGCTTTATTTTATTACTCCAGTAGTCGAACATTAATTGTTAACATTAATGAATTTTTCGGTCGGGAATGGATTACTTGATTAAGTATTTTTGAGGAAATATGTGCTACTGAGTGAATATGGATGCTCTGGCTCTTAAAGTATCCACTATCCGATGTGTACCGAACTACCCTCTTCCATTAATTCATTAATAATGTATTTTTTGTATTCTATGAATTTAATTTTGTAATCACTTTGATTTCATAAACTGTCGGGAAAGCTCCTCTGGCACACCTCGGTGGCAGAGTATTTTTGCACTCTGCATTTGTCGGATAATGTGCGTCGGCTCCGACACACACACACACACACAGGCAGGGCATCGAAGGACCGCCTCAGTGTTGGCCATTGGAATGCGTGTGTAGTGAAGGATACGCGGAACGTGATTGCAATTTTAAACAGGCTCCGGCGCCGTTTCCCCTTTGATTTTGAGTGTGTGCATGTCCTGAAATATGACTAACTTGGTCTAGACTGGTGGGGGGTTGGGGGCAAGTGGGAGAGCACGTCAGTTGGCCACATGCCAGTCGGCAGTCAAGAGTGGGAATCAAAATCAAAATCAAGCTGTTGTGTAGCTTTGGCCTAGACCGGAACCGGAAGTCGCCCTGATGAATTGCCCTGCGCCCGTGCTATTAAAGGCTCCGGCAATTTGCGACCAACTTTCAAGTTCAGCTTTACAAATGCCCTCTCGCATCCTCATGGCTCACATTTTCCAGTTTTTAATATAAAATGCCAAAAAGCGGATATAAAGCGGGGGATTTATGAGCGCTTCTTTTACTACTTTATTATGCCCCGATCTCACAATGAAAGAAAGAGAAGGGCGGGAGTGGAAGTGGGAATACGAAATGAAATTAAAGCTGCCGGAAATGCAGACAAAGCGACAAGTCATTGCAGCAGCCATTTTGCCTAGAGTTTCAGATGGTAAGGGGACGGGCGATGGGGGACGGGGAATGGGGAATGGGGGACAGAATTTCTTCTTCGAAAAAATAATAGAAGGAAAAGCTGGAGAACTGAAATGGTATCCGAATCATATTGCACTCCCTGCCTGATGGAGATTCCAGCAAAGTGACAAACAAACAGTCGCACGGAGCGTCAAATGGCAGCGAACGAAGAGAAATATTACAAAAAATTTGAGCAAAATATTAATGAAAAATGTTTTTACAAAGGAAAATGGCTGACAAGGCGCGCAGAGCAGAGCTGAGTTTCGAATGACAGAAAAAGCTGAATGAATGCCTTTGCAATATCGCAAATTTGAATTGGCAGACAATGCATCTGGAATCAAATAAGCGTAAATACAGGGCACAATTGAAGTCAATGGAGTGCGAAGATATTACCTTGGTAGAACAATCGTCAGATAGGAAAGGCTTAAGGTGATGGCAGGTAGACGAGCACTAAGCTGGACTTAGCCTTTTGACAAATGTCCTTTAAGGGAAACTCTCATTGTTGGTGAATGTGCTACCAAATGCATTTCGAAACTTTCTTTCGAATTTTCTGAGCTAGTAATGAGAACTTTTTTTGCTTTTATGTACAAATCTCATATCTAATATCCGCGCCATCGATCGCTTTGCAGCACTGATTAACTTTTGGTGGCTTTACATTTGCACCTGTCAACACTCGAACGGAGATTAACTTTTAGCCGCTGCGACAGTGTTTTGTTGCTGTTACTGTTTGTGGTTTATGGGAATGTGTCGGAGCAAAAAAGGAGCAGAAACAGAAACTGAATCGAAGCATGTCCGGAGCACAAAACGGTTGCACAAAATGGCGACCGCAACATAATTGAACCGCAAATGATGTGGATGCTGCAGTGTGGGCGGAGGGGCTCTTCGGTCAACTCAGAATGTGATTCATTCGCAATTAATATTTAATGTAATCGGAATGCTGGGGATTATAAACGAGAGGCTTCTATTTCAAAATATTGCATTGAACAGCTGACAAGCGGGTGCATAATGGATGAGGAGTGGAAAAAATCTGATTAATTTGCTATCGCACACACTCACCTGGCAGGGTTGCTATGTAGACAGTGGCAAGGATGAAAACGCTTCGTAGTTTAATCGCCGGCAGTGGCATTCTGTTGACTTTTTGTCCACAAATGTGATTATTTATTGATTAATTAGTGAATTTTGTTGGTGTTTGTGTCCGCAGCACTGTGATTTTAAGTCATATATGAGCAATATCCGATGTTCGATGTCCACTGGCTGAAACCGCAGAAATCAATTTTTACATTCGGCAACTCCCCTCGCCATCCCTTTTGTGCAATTTCCTTTTTTGCCCTCTGATTGGTTTTACTTTTTGCTCTATTTTGCGGTAGCATTTAATACATTTTTCGCTTTCATTTTTCGCCTGTGCTTTTGCTTTTGCTTCTGCGTTTGCTTATGATGTTGCTTTCTTCGGTTTACCAGCTTACCAGTCAGCCACAATTAGCAAACTCCCAGTGAGTCCCATTTGTGTTCCGATTCGGACTCGGACTCGGACACCTTCAAGCCACTGGCACTCGCTTGCCTGTGGATCTGTTCGCACACAAGTACTCGTATGTTCGGGTTAGCAGCATTTTTCATTGAACTCGATTTGGCTATTTGCATTTTTCATATCCCTTTTGCGTTTTTTGCATATTCATTTCCTGTTTTACACAATTTTTGCACTTTGTTGCTATGTATTTTATATGATTTTACTCTGCTCCCCGCTTCGTTCGGTCCATCCGCTCCACGTCCTGGGGTTTCGACTGCTGTTGCTGTTGCTGCTGGCAGATGATGGAGCTAGTATCGGTTTCCAATTCCAGCTGAAAATGGATAAGCGGATCAGGGTTAGCATATGTTTCACTTGAAGTCTTGTTCGTATTAACTGAGACATAGAATTAATAATACTTAGCCATACTACTTAATTTTATTACTAATATAGTAGACTCGGGGGCAAGCGCCCTGCACAAGCGCGATGACCCGAAACCGATGACCCGAAGGAGAGATATATTTTCTTGGAATCAACCCACTGATTGATTCCCATATATTATTTCAACTACTATTCATATTTTATTAAAGAAACATTTTCAATGCTCAGCTATTACAATGATATGGGATTTTCCATTCTGTCGCTACGTTTTATTATATACATAGATAGATATCTTTGTTATACAATTTATAGGTTTTTCTTCGCAGACTTTGCATAACACATCGTCATCGCATTACCTTAATCAAATCGTATTACTTTCGCGTTGGCCTCCTCCGTTCGTGACACTTTCCTGTCTTGACAACTCCAATCATCATGAAATTCAATATCCCAAGAAAGATTTACTGCCTCCAACTTCGGGTTGTGGCCGTGGCAGTGGCAGTACCCATCTGTGGACTAAATCATGGACGGATGGACGCTTTAAGCTGCATTGGCTTTGGAGTTTGGCAGAGGGAGAACAAAACACAAGCTCAGTGCCTCAGTGCATTTTCCAACTGATTTGAAAATCCAAATGTTGCCCATTAGCAAACCAAATACGCACAGCTCAGACCTCAGACCTCGCCACGCTGATGGTGGATGGCGGATGGCGGATGGTGGATGGTGACGCCGGAAAAGGGGGCACAGACTTTGGCGCCACAGAAAAGCCTCGCCCTGAGCCGCATGCGTTCGCCGCCTGACTTTACATTGGAAATTGGCAAAAGCCAAGCCATGAAATTGTACAACACGATTTTCACATTTCGTACATGACACCATTTCGGAGGAAGCTGGCGGTATGGTGATGTGGCAGGCCGGAGGGAGTACCCGTACATATGTATATGGCGCCCGGGCTCGTGCATTCCGCGGCTGCCTACTTGCGCTGCCTTCGACTCCAGGCAGTTGTGTGCATAGGGGAAATTCACTTATGGAAATCGAAGATTTTCGCAGTGAGTTTGTCGCTATTCTCTCACTCGCCATCTTGTTTTCTCTTTCTTTTTTAGTAAGAATCTCCTGTGACGTGGGGCATACTAAACTGATATGAAGTATCAACATTCTGTATTCAATGTAAATCCTTTAAGCTGCAGATGCGCTTGAAGGGAGCTCTGCCGCTCCCATAGACACATCCACATTGTTGACTGAGTGACAACTTGACTGCGGCTCTGATTGGAGGCTCTGCCGCTGAAGTGGAGTGCTCCGGCGTGAGGTTCTCGGGAAAGTGATATGGCACATTCGGGATGTGGAATGCCTTCTGGGGCAAGTCGAGCAATGGGCCAAGTGGCGGGTCGGTTGTTGGCGTGCTGCTTTTAATTTGACGTTTATCGAATGACGAAAGATATGCCTGCACGGGCAGAATGGATTCTTGGAAGGTTCCGGCAGATGCGTTTCGATCAGCGGTCCGATTCTCGTAAATGTCCAATTGAATCGCCTTTCGATGGTGTTATGACTACGCAGATCTGCTCCCGAGTGATGTGAGAAATGTTTACACCCGAAATCTAAATTGTCTACATCTCGTAGTCAGAGAGGTCTTTGTGGTTAGTTAGGGGTACATTTTCCTTTGCTTTTTGTAAACGAGGCAGTCTTATCAGCTCTGTCATAAAATCACATTACTCATTGACAATTGAAAATGAGCTCAAACAAAATACAGAAGACACATTCCTTGACCGGACGGTACTCCGAAGACGCAGTGTCGGTCATATCGCTTTATTTCGAGCAATCCGTAAGTTCGTCGTTCTCGCATATCCGCAATGACGTTGGAACCACGCCTCAGAATCGGTAAGTCGAGTTTTCCCACAGAATCAAAGGATATTAAAAGGAGTTCTTTCAGAGTCCTGCAATTGTTGCTGGACTACAAACTCTTCAAGGCGGCTCGGACTATTCAGCGCTTTGTCCGAGGATGGCTCTGCCGGAAGATGTTGGCCAAAGGAGCGGCTGCAGTCACCACCATCAGCAGATGGTGGCGGGGCTTCCGTGTTCGCCAGAACTACTACGTCCTGATGGAGCAGAGGCTGCAGAAGAAACTTTTGGACCACTACTACGAGCAGGCAACTAAGATCCAGACTTTGTTTCGTGGCTGGCGCACCCGTCAGTTCGTGCAGGACTTCAATGGCCTTCAGCTGATTCAGATGCAGTTCGCCGAGGATCTGATCAGCTGTTTAGCCCGAAGTCTGCGCGATGTGAAGAATAACGATCAGCTGCCAGGGGTTTACTGCCTGCGCACGGATGGGTACGATCAATGCTCCCCACATTTTCCCTACCTCCATACTAATAGTAGTGTCGCTGTCAAAACTCGTAGAAGATGCCTTAGGATAATTGAGGACCTGGCTCGCACCTTCAGCTACCGCTTCCACAACGGTCGTGTGCGGGCTTCGATCGCCAAACGACGCTCATATCTCGAAGATATGCGCCAAAGCTTCCATCTGTCTCATGCATACACATTAACGCCCTTCCCAGGTCCTGGTGCTGTCCTGGGGGACTGCACGACTCACGTTGATATCACTGAGCCGGGCTTCTCCAAAGAGACCGATTTTCGTATGCAGCGCCTCATATTGATGTTCGAGAAGTCCAAGCGGGATCCGGATGTGGTCAGAGTTCAGAATTCACTGGCGTCCAGTAAGTATTAAATGCGGTTAATCGCACTGGTCTCGTTTTTATATGAGACATCGACATCCGTCCCTTTAGAACACAGGCGCGATATCCAAACGTCTCTGAAGGCGCAGAAGGAGGAGAGAATAAAAAACTTCTGCACGTTTGTCTTTCATCGCATAGCCTCAACCATTGGTAATAAGCGCAGTAGCGTCAAAAACTATCTCGACGAATTGTTGTATAACGCCGAGGAAATGTGTTGTCACTGCCAGCCAAAATTGGTTACCCAATCGTTGTGTCACTAGGTGACACCTACACACGTTTAATGGGTTCGGACAAGTTCATTTTCATTTTTAAATATTTTAACCATACTCGCGGAAAAACGTAATAAAATTGTTAAATTGTTAAATTGGACTTCAGATAGTGGTGAGTGTTTTATTCGTGGGTGGTTTTACTTTTGCCTTTCGATCTGTTACCGATATGACAGCGACACGTGCCTCCTCCCGCTGCACAATACTATTCAGAGCTACTCCATCCCCATCCCCATCCCCATCCCCATCTCGTATCCCCATCAGTCACAGAGTTTCAGAAATTCCGGAACATAAAACAGATTTGGTCATACTCATCTCAAGTGAAGAGGAAGAAGTCAAAGCGCTTAAACTTTTTTAATGCCAAGGCAACAAAAATTGAAGAAGAGGACGAGAAAATTTGTTCCTTTTGCGTGCGTTTTTAGCAGCTCACAATTTATTTGCAAACATTTATTATAGTTACTTTTGTTTTATTCGCTTTGAGTACTTTTTCTTGTTAGGGGAATGAAGGAAGGTGGTGCTCGGTAGAGAGAGAGATGGTAGGAAATGGTGGGTCACTTTTTATGCTGTATTGTTTTATGGTCGCATCGTGGCTGGCAATGAAATGCCCCGCAAACACACGCAAAAAGTGAACCAAACCAAAGTTGATAAAAACCTCAGAAGCAGCAGAGAAATGTAAAAGACTTCCAGCTGTGGATGGGGATGGGGACGGGAATCTAGAAAACAAATTAGTTTAAAGATAAGTAGGTTACGCAATCTTGTGGAGCATACTTTCTGGCATAAAGTGGCTGTCTTGATTAGTCTTCAGAGAGCGACAGAGAAAGAGAGAGCGCAGCGAGAGCGATGGCAAACACAATCAGGCATCCATTCGCGTCCGACTTCACGTGAAAATGTTGAGCAGCTGTCGATGGCAGGGTGATGGCAGGACGAGGGCAGGGCGATGGCGAGGTTTAAGGCAAATACGAGTAGCATAAAGCACACTCTCCAAGGAATTGCCAAAGCATCCAGCGAATGCCGGAGGGGAGGTTTCGAGGGATCTGGGGGATTGAGGCGTGCCCGTAATGCGCCTTTGGCCAAGTGCACTGTAAATACCAAAGCAATTTTCACTGCAAAATTAACAAGCGCCAAACCGCAACACAGGCCCGAGGTGCTGAAGTGGATTGGCTTGGACTGGGACTGGGACTGGGCAAGATGATGCTGATACGGATGCTGAAGGTGCACGGACGATGAAAGGATGCGAGGATGTGTGAGTGCGAGTGTGAGAGCTCCGGGTTTCATTGAACATGGCTCTAAGTCTGGCCGAGGCGCAAAATACATAATGAATTTTCGTTCCTCTTGCCGTCTTCCGTCTTCCGCTTGTTTTATTTGTCTTTTTAGCCATTTTTGTTGGTCCTTTACACACACTATATGTCAGGGATCCTTTCTCCGCACACGAATGCAATTAAGCTGCCTGAACTGAAGCGATTGCCCCAACAAGACTTGAAGTCTTACTCGATTCCCTTTCCGTTCTCAACTGGATCATCAATCGCAAGGAGAAAGCTATTAGGGGCTTCAATCTCCATGTATCCCCTCTTTCCTTTGACTTTTGCAATAACATTCCTCAGATGCCTCAGAACTTTATTTAAAGAAAGGAAAAAACACCAAAAACGAGCGGGAATGCTGTGAGCCTGGCAAGGGCCACGACTGTACTTTTATACCCGGCACTGAGTCATGGCAGACAGACATGACTACAACGACTCAGCTCTTGATGCTGACCAAGAATATATATACTTTATATAGGTCGGCCTCCTTTCTGGATGCTACACACATCCACTTCCAAACCGGACGTAGTACATCCCTAAGATCTTCTTCTTCGAGGTATAATGATAGCTATAACGATAGAATAGAACCTTTGGATTTTATGCAGAAAATACTCATAAGATATGATTATGGTGTGTGGTATGTGTATGTGCAACGGTAATAATATGCCGGCTTCTAAATTGTCCACTTTAGTACATATATTTTCTTTTAGTGGGGAAAGCTATAATTATATAACATCCGATACATGTATATTGTTGTTTTGTAGGATACTTCTTAATCGTTCAATCGGCATTACAGAAGCTCTTGCAATTGTCCTTTCCCACCATCCCTTTGCAAACCAATTAGCTTTAAGTTTTAGCTGCCTCCTGAAATATATATGCAATCCAATCATATGTATCAGCATTTAAAGAGTCTCCCATTTCATTCACTCAAGCATTTGAACCCCACATACTCGTACACACACAAACAGAAAGCATTCCAATTAGGGGTCAGAGCCTGGAGGCCCGGAGCATTTCCTTAACCCTAATCTTAATTATGCAAAAAATGGTTCCATGTGCGAAAATTACCGACAATTAACCCCCTCCAGAAAAAGAGAGAGAGAGAGAGAGAGAGGAAGAGAGGGAGGTTCGACGTCGACCCCGACCCAGATGGGTATGGAGATGGTGCTGAGCCGCCATGCGTCCCAGCTTGACAATAAACTAACACCAAACTGCCGGCCATTTCCAAATGCTTGGGTCATCAGAATGTGTCAGTCAGGGCAGTTCATGCAAATTTGAAACTTAATCATGGCAAATTATATTACCCGAAGCACCCCTTTGACCCTGCCGAATTGTCCGTTTATCAAATGGAAAGCACACAACAGCTGTTTAGAGGAGAATAGTTTCAATTTTCCCTCGGTCGGAGTTTCTTCGCTCGTCTGCTTCTCTCTCATGGCTGTCAAATGAGATTAAAATAAGCTTTTTCATCAATCGACATCGACTTGGACGTTGTTGCTGCTCCCGCTGCTGTGACTGCTATATTCTATCCCTCACATGACAATGGCAGCTCGAGACTCTATCCCTGTCCTCGTCCCTGTCCCTGTCCCTATCCCTCCCCCACCCATCCATGGACTCACAATATAATGGGCCAGGCGAATTTATAGCAATTGTGCACTAAAAGGGTTTTATCCACGCACAACAGCTTGACCAATAAAGCAACTAAGCGCATTTGTGCACCACTTCACAATCGTCGGCAGGGGCTGGGGTAGAGGTAGGGGCAGGGGTGGGGGTGGGGGCAGGGGTAGGGGCTAGAGCGTATTGCGATCGTGCCTCATATATGCGTATAGTGGGTATAGTGGGTATAGTGGGTATTGGGAGCAGGGAGCTCTGCCATGAGCTTTGAGTGCCAGTTTATTGCCAAATTGAGTTCGCCCCCGAAAAGGGAGCGCGACGCCACGAAGATGGGGCTGCTGGCAACAAAGCTTTGAGTTCGGGAAAATGTTGTCAACAACAGCTGCACAATTGAGATAAACTTCAATTTTCGTAAATTGTTTAGTTTATTGAAAAATGTGCGACATGTGAAGACTCTGAGGGGACGGACAGGGACAGGCAGCACTCTGTCAGTGGCTGGTGGGGGGTGGGGGTCTGTTTGGCACATTAAGCGCTCTGAATTTTAATTCAATTTAACTTTAGTTCCCAGCTTCCCAGCTTCCCAGCTTGCGGACACTCGTAGAGGAGACAGCAATTTATTGCCGCATTTTATTCTACGAATTTATTGGATTTGATTGGACTCAACTGTACTGGACATGCTGGCGACTGGCAGCTAACTGAAAAAGAGTGACTGCAAAAAGCGTTCCTTCCCCATCTAGCAGTTCAAGTAAGCCTGAAAAATTTCGCGGTACTGAGTCTGATTGAGGTTACCTCCGAAGCGAGTTTATTCCTTACAGGAGATGTGTGCATCAGTTGGATATTTGCCTGGCTCGAAAACTACGAATACCAATGATTTTGTTATTTAAAATTCTCAATCAAACGATTCTCAGTAAAAATGAGAATAGTATTTACATGACATTTTACATATCTTCACGATTTTCAGGAGTATAGGCCAAATGTCCCCTTGGGCTTTCAGGAATTAACAGTGGAAATTATGTAACCACATTTTGTGTAAAAACTTTTTCATTTTCATTTTAGTGCAGAGTTCTTCTTCCACACATTTTCTCAATCAACCGCATAGCCTGACCAGGCTTCCCTTACCCCCTTCCCCCCTTCTCGACCACGACAATGCCCAAGGCAACAAAGCGTAGATCGAACTTTTCTCTCTTCTTAAGCTACCAAATGAACATTTCTCTTATCGAAAGCCCCAAAGGTATACCTAAGCACACCCCGACAATATCCAACTGCCTTATCCATTCCCATATTCTTGAATTTGAGAATTCTCGAATTCACGTGCTCCTACTGCTATTTCCCCAAGGAACATGTGTGTATGTGAGCTCAAATTATGCGCATGTCGTTGATATTTTTCCGTTTTTCCGGGAGTACTCGTACTCGCACTCGTTCTCGTATCCGCCGCACTCTTTCTGCCCGGCACGGCAGGGCACGATTTTCAATTCAAATGTTTTTCTTTTTCTCGGGTTCGATTTCGGTGGCGGCGGAAGGTGAGAGATGCCGCCGCGCTGCATGGGCGTGGCAGTGGTGGGCGAAAAGTTTTCGCATAAAATAAGGCAAGATAAATTGTTAATGCGTCTGTGGGGAAGCGATTAGCGGTGAATGTGCCGAGTTTATGTCGGAGTTCGTTTTCGGAACAGTCTCCCCCTCGCACTGAAATTTAAATAATATTTGCCGGTGAGAAATTCCCCCAGAACCCAGCGCAAATGCAGTTTGAGGAAAGGGGAAAAACTTCCGGATGGCTGTTTGGACGTTTGACCAGAAATGTGTATTTATTTTCCTGCAGCGGATATATTTTACAAATCAACTTCTCCATACATAACTGATGTCTGACTGCAGGACGTCATCCGAAAAAGAAAAGGAAAGAAACAATAAAGGGAAAGGGAAGGAAAACTAAGAGTCCGTTAAAGTCTTGTTGCCATTGGCAATTTATTTCGACCCAGCTCAGCTCGGTTCCGTTCCTGCTTCAAGCCGGGGATTTTGTCCTCTGGTAAGGCAATTGGCTCTATCCTGTCGGGACAGGAGAAAGGAAGGGGCGATGAATGTGAAGGCACTCTAGGAAGCATTCAGGTGTGCGATTGGCAAATGCAACATCAACTGCAGCTCATGATAAATCGTTATTTATAATTTGTATTGTAAACGAGGAAATTTTATATTTAT